TGCCCTCTAGTATGTTTTCAACTTCTTCGTTTTTTTTTAACATTTATATTTTATTTTTTGTACATATTTCTTTGAATATTTCTTCTTTCAATAGACTATGTAGATTTTTTTCAATCACTATATTTCCCAAAATAGTTATTTTTTCCATTTAATTTTCTTTGTAACTGTTACAATTTAAAATATCAACGTTAGCACATATAAACTGTCAAAAAATAAACCAAATTCTACTTTTACTTACAGTGTAGGGCACTTAAAAGTTCCATCTCCCCCTTATCTTCATCATAACATTATTTTTTTATTTGAAAGTTTTTGTGATGTTTCAATTTACTTGTTTTTTCGAAAATACCAGAAAACAATTTATTCGAATAATATAATTAGGTATCATTTTAATAATTTGACAAACTACGTTTGTTATTGTTTCAATACTGTTTATTTAGGTACTGTACCATTAATAAAACTAATGTATAATTTCTTCCGAAAGCTTTCAAACAATATATTTGCATACTTGACAAAACATTATCGGGTAAAACAGGAATTAAGGGAATGTCACAGAATAATTGAATCAATTAAAAGAAAGGGTTGCGGGTCGCACATGAAATCTTCTGAAGGTAGCAGAATATACCTGAATTCTTTTAAGAGCAAATCTAACACCTTGAAAATTTATAATTCCTTCAGAGATTACTTCGATTTTTGTAAAATTTTCAGGAAATACCAATAATAACAAAACTTAGAGTAGAGAAACCTTGAATTTTTTGTAAACCGAAAAGTATTTATTTTAAAAATTTTTAAAAGGAATTTTAAAAATGGGACTTCATGAAAAGTAATTTTTGGGCTAGTCCAACGGACACGTCCGGAAAAGTCACAATGAAAAGTAGTCGACCTTGAGCATAGAGGACACATTTAAATCTCCATCCTGGATGTTTTTTTCAAAAACACTTTGGGAACAATGTTTGCATTTGTATTTCCTTTTTTTTTAGGCAAATCATTCGTAAAATAATTCTAACCTTTGGATTTTTGGTAATTCTTTCACGCGTTTATTTTAATAAGATATGAAACAAAAATTCGAAAACATCGTTAAAATATTATGTCAGTAAACATTCGGACGAATTAGTTAATTAAATTTCGCGCTTGCGCAATACACCTTTCCACTAATGAAAAGTGTGTTTGGACTAGTCGACTCTTCAGACTAGTCCGTCGGACTTGTCTGTGGACTTTTCAAAGCACACCATCACTAATTAAATCTATGAAAATTTGCTGCTTCTTGTTTTAATAAATATGTTTATGAGAAGATTTCCCACCTTTTTTTCTTAACCGTCTCTATCGAGTGCTGCCTTATCGTGGCACAAAATTCAAGCTTTCAATATTCTCGAGACACATAATATCGTTAAGTATTCCCATTGAGACGCATATAAATACAATTTTATATTAGAAAATCCTTAACACATTGCGTGCCACGTCTCTCATATATGAGAGACACAAACATTTCGCCGGGGGGCTTCGTCGCTCATTTATGGTAGACACGCATCTCTCACTTTCTGGCGATGTATATCAAATGTGATACCCGCTACCGTTTATTTCAAATGGAGAATCCCAAGCTTGCCCTCTGGGGAAAGTAATATTGGTCTTGGTTTGAGCAAATTTGGAAAAATAAATTTACCACGACAAATGTTTGAAAAATATCTATTTTGCGTAATAAAAATAAAATTTATTCTGAAATAGCCTATTCGTAATAATGGAACAAAATTTATTCTGAAATTGCTTATCCTAAAAACAAAGTGAAAACATCTTTCAACTGCAAAAAAAAAACTGAAAAAATATTTATTTTGCGTAGTAAAACAAAATTTATTCTGGGATTGCTTATTCTAATAACAAAATGAAAACGTCTTTCGACTGCAAAAAAAAGAGAAACTGAAAAATGTAATAATTAATGTTTTTCATTAAAACATGGCGCACATATTTGCGGTTGTCCGGGTCACTTGTCGCAATAATTGTATGTCAATTTAGCTTTGGATTTTGCAACTATGCGTCCTGATTCTTTTTGAATTTTCGCATAGCACACCGAACACCTGCTTCGGATTTTTTGCTTCAGGGCCACGTCGCTCATATATGAGACACAGAAAAAGCGAAAAAAAAAATAGCTAAAAACTACAAAAAAACCTTTAATTTGAGTAAATACATACAAATATTGCAAAAATGTAGTTTGGCCCCTGGGACTATTTTCCCGATAACAGCGTGGCACGCAATGTGTTAAAACATTTTTGCTTTTCTTGAGAGAACCGGTTTGCTCTTAATCGCTCACAAGAAGTCCCATACATTAAATTAATATCAGGTAAATGAATAATAAAATGAGACTGCAGTTGAATTTTCACTAGTAATACCACTAGAGGTCAAATTATTTCCCGATATTAATTTGACCTCGCGTGGTATTCGGTAAGAAAATTCCACGCCGAATTATGGTTGAAATTTAAATATTTTTAAAATTTATTTTTCGTTTCTCAACAATGCAAATTATTTTCTCCAAGTCACCAGTGAAACATAAAAGGTGTTGTCGCCTTGATTGTTGAGTTGTCATGGTAACTAAGTGAGACCCTAATCTCGAATATAATTTCAGTTTTGAAGTTGTCAAGCGGCCCGACGTAAAAAAATGTTTCGCTGCAATTATTTAGGCCTTCAAATTGCTTATTTCTACTCATTGTAGTTGCATGGGAATACCATTTGAAAATAGTATATTCTTTAATTTTACGTAAGTTTTGTATAACTACAAGTGGTAGAAAATTGTTTTTCTGCGTTTTTATTAACATGCGTTATGAGCGCTTTAAAATGGTATGAAATTCATAACCAGCGTCAGCAAGCATCAATCGTAGGAGGCTGTGATCATTGTATTTTGACAGTTCAAAACATTAAATAACTCGCGTTTTGTTGCGATAAAGAATATTGCACAGCAAGTAAAACCAACAAAATTACCTATTTGTTTAAAAATGAATCGATTTGAAAATCATACGCTATGCAAAATATGCGTGAAATTGTCTGATGTAATGATCAATCATTGCACCATGACTTACTCGGATTAATAGAGGATTGTGGCTCCAACTTGAAAAACGAAAATTTGTTCCGAATTGTCCACGAATATTTGCACCTAAACTACGCAAAATTCAAAGTGCTGAATGGGAAAAAGGTGAATAAATTAGTGTCTAAATATTATATATATTTTATTAGACATAGACACATAATTCAAAGCATCCAAAGTCCTGCATTTTCGCCATTAAGAAGAAAAGAAGTGGCCGAAGAATATAGAAAACACCTTAGCATTGTAACTAAAATGTATCAAAACTAAACCTATTATGTGAACAAATAAAAACCAGTCTGTCAAAAATGGTCTGTTATTGTAAACGTCAAAAAATTTCCAGTATAATTCGCTGTTGGGTACCCCACGAGAAAAAAATTTCCACTAAAATACCTCCGTTGCCATGGTGATCTGTCAAAAACACGTATTTTAATTGGTTCAAAATTACAGGTGTGGAATTTTCATATCTATTGTTGGTTTGAAAAATTTTCGTATGGTAATAATTCAGGGAAAATATTATTTTTTCCGCGTGGAAAGTACCTACCAATTTTCTTTAATTTACTTTGAATTTTCATATAATAGCGCCCTTTTTATCAAATCTTAAAACTGATAAAAAAATTTTGATTTACCTATCGCCCCAAAAACAGAACCCTACAAAATCTCAAGTTAATACACAAATGAAAATGTAATAAACGAAAAATAATTTAATAACAACATGTACTCAATCCACTGTCATTTGGCCAAATACAAATTAGGAAAAAAACATAATAAAAATAACAACCAATGAAAGAGGGAAGTACAAATATGTAGCGATACACTAAACAAAAATATGTATAAGCAGTAAAGATTGTTAACTATTTAGTTTAGATTTTCAAAAATATGTATTTTAAAGGCTGCTTTAAATTTTAAAATAATATAATTCTTGAATTCTGGTAATATTTTATAACAGATCAGGTAAAGTTCCTTCTTAAAAAAGGGAACAGCAATTCTCTGTTCCTTATTTTATATTATGGACATCTTAATGGTAGCTGATTATGCGATGTAGGTAAAACGGCTTCTTATTTACAAGTAACTTATGACATAAAGTGAAAAAGTATGTTTTTTCTTCTGTTCTCCATATTTATCTAACAAATTTATTTTTGTATTCAAGAGTTAAATTGGCCCCATACAACACATGATTATACAGAGCGAGATCACAAGTGGTTCCAGCGAGTCTATTAGGTGGGACTGTGATCTTAATTTCGCATCTTTATACCAACGTAGCATTGTAAATATGTATAAGATTGGATAGAAATAAAACGAATTCTAGAATGTAGGTACATTTAATATTACATACATGATTATAAAATAAACTTCCTGTAAAAATGTAAAAAAAAACAAACCGTAAAATGTGTAAAACAGGAACAGTTTATAAAATACACCAACAACTAACTAAATGAATAAAATGCATTATAGATCTCAAATATTTAAAACTATTCAATTCAAACGAAAGGTAATAACACATCACAGAACATTATATTTTACCTTCCTTATGTGTATATTAAGGTCACTATGTGAAATATCAATAAAGGCGAATTTAAATTAAAAAATGGTACTTGATATCTGAATATAATTTAGACAATGTAGATATCAATTTAATTTAAAATTACTTCCGTTACTGTACTACATTCACGTTTTTTACATTCTTAATATCAACATCACTTAGTGATGTAGCTAGGCATATTGATACATTTATATTTTAATAGCTGCTGTAGCAGTTGCAAAGAAATTTTCCAAATCATTCATAATAACCTTGAAATTTTTAACATAGTTATGGTGTGCATCGTAAAAAAATGACTAAGTGAATATCGTAACTGGCAGGGGAATACCAGGGAAGCTTTACATAAAAAAGGTCAATGGCAGACCAGATTTCCACCCTTGACATGATTCAAAATAGCTCCAGACAAAATATATGGCTCAATTTTTTATTTATCGTTTATACGATGGCATATTATTCCGCGATAAGGAACATGAAAAAAACAAAAAATACAATGACACCAGAAGGAAATCTTTCAGACAGGATTAAGGCAAAGAATTTCGCTATTCACTGTGCTCTTAAATTTGGGTTTAGAATGATATCAAATTCAAGATACACGACCACACATACGCAGAACCAGTAAAGAGGTAATCCAGTTTCATTGCAAAAAGCCAAAATGTCATGAAAACTCTTGCCTCACCAGCTCTGCTAAAATTCACTAAATCGGTCATTATAGGGTTCGATTACAATTAAAAGAACACAGCTACGTCATCATTTGGCAAAGTAATTAATTGGTTATCGTAGTCTACTGGGGGTTTAGTGGAATATTAATATTGTAGGAATATAGGCAATATTGTCTTATACCTAACAACTTACTTATTTTTTATTTATTGATAGTTATAGATAATACGTATTCGAAATTCGAAGTAATGGTTATGACGTGTTCTTCTAATTGTAATCGGACCCTACCTTAACTATATTTAATTTCGAAAAATGTATTATAAAAAACATTTACTTATAGAAAATGTAAAAAAGGTGACTATAGTATAGCATAAATTATATATACAATTAAATCAAGTACATACAAATAAAATCGGCCTTCCTTCTAAGTAAATGGTTTCGACAATGACTAATTACCGTAACTTAACACTAATCTGATCAATCAAGCTGTCAATTCTCTCACTCGTTCCCTTAAAACTTTTCGGATCCGGCCCGATCATTTGGATGAGTTGAGGAACTTCTTGAGTCGAAACTTGAGCGAATTTCGCCAACGCTTTCATACATCTAAACAGTTGTTCTTCCGCCGGTTTCGAGTTGAAATATTGAAGTAACGCCATGGTTAATTCTACCGCCACGTCGTCGAATACCTGAAATCAGAAAATCGATAATTGAAATTGAGTTTTTTTCTAATTTAACATCAGATCTGATGAAAAATAATAGTTTGTTGTGTGCTCCATATAAAGTTGGATCCTTTTGGTATTTTTTTTTAAATATTATGATTGGAAAAAACGTCATAAGGCAATCACCTCTGCTTATTTAAAAACTTGAAATAGCCAATATCCAAGTTGGTTACTGATATTCGATATCTATCCTTTTTTTTTAAATATGATAAAAGTTATAAGAGAAACTTGTTTCTAATTACATTTTACGTCAATATACCGATTTTGAGCAAGTATTCCGGCATGAAGAAAATTTTAATTTAACTCATTTTTTGATACACTTCCGTACTTAACTGTAAATTTTGCATTCATTGAAAAATTTTAAAAGGGACGAAAAGGCAACAATTTCATACCAATTTTTGTTAATATCATGTAAAAGCAAATTAGGTGTTAAGTTTTGATTACAACATTTCTTGTTATCTGTGTCTGTAACGTGTGGAGGGTACGGCACTTATCGACCGCCTCCTGCCAAAAGCGACGCCTCGCCTCACTAGATCCTACATCAGATTCTATTTCAACTGTGCGGAGGCGTGTCATTGTCGTCAGAGCAACCTCCTTGATGTAAATATCAAGGGGAGTGAGACTAAGAATTACTTCCATGGCTCTGGTCGGTGTTGGTTTCATGGCTCTGGTCGGTGTTGGTTTCATGGCTCCTGTTATGTTGAGACATACTGTTCTTTGAATTTGTTCTAGTTTACGGATCGCTGTTAATTTTTGGGTTTTCGGTACCCAGACAACTGCACCGTATGTTAGCATAGGTCTTATGATAGCCGTGTAAGTCCATGCTACACCTCTGGGGGAGAAACCCCAGGTAAGCCCCACGGTTCGGCGGCATTGTTCATAAGCAATGTATGCTCTTTTAACTTTGTTTTCTGAATGCGAGTTCCATGTTAACTTGCTGTCAAAGGTGAGACCTAGGTACTTCACCTGTTGCAATGTTTAGTTTTGTGTTTAGGGGTTCTGGAGGTTTTAATTCCACTTTCATCCTTTTCCTTGTGAAAAGGACCATTTCTGTTTTCTTAGGATGACAGTGAATGGTCCTTGCACCACTGTTCTATAATTTTTAGAGCTACTTGCATTCTTTCGCAGAGTATTTTCTCAAAATACCCTGTTTGCAGAATGAACAGGTCATTGGCATTTGCTATTGTGTAGTGACTGTCATTATTGATATTAACGATATGTTTTCTAATAAAAAAAATATGTGTTGTTTTCTTAGAAATTCCAAATCATCCATAAAACTCTGTTTACTTTTGCATAATTTTAATATTCGTAAAAATAATTCTCGTCCCATTAAGGCATTTTCAATGAATTTAAAATTGTCAGTTAGGGGTTTTATCAAAAACTGTAAAAACTAAATAATAATAATAATAATCGATTAATGGAGAATAATCGATTATAATTAATTAATCGTAAATAATTCATTAATCGAAAATAATCGATTAATCGTAAATAATTGGCTAATCGAAAATAATAAAATAATTGTATAATCGAAAAGAATTGATTAATCGAAAATAATTGATTGATCAAAAATAATCGATTCACCGAAAAAAAAATCGATTATTTAAAAATAATCGATTATTCGAAAAGAATCTAAGAGAATCGATTAATCGAAAATAATCTATTAATCGAAAAGAATCAATTAATCAAAAATAATCGATAAATCGTAAAGAAACTTTTCTAAAATCGGAATATCTCCACGTTCAAAATCGGTATGTCATTACAAATAAATTTCTCTACTTTCTTCGTATTTCTAACAAAAAGGCAATTTTTGAACGATTTTTCAAAAATATGGTGAATTTGACAGATAACTAATGTAGCCAACTTTGATATAGACTATTTTTAGTTTTAAATAAGCAGAGTAGATTACCACTCGACGTGTTTATCCAATCGTAGTATAAAAATGTCCATATTGATCCACCTTATGACACACACTGTATATTTTTATTGTGGTTTCCGACCAGGTTTTTATTAAGAACGGGATTTGAATAGACTGATTAAGCGGCTATATCTCACAATATCTAGGATTTTTTTTAAACAAAAAAGTCGATTTTTATTTTATCATATCGCTATCTACCATACGCCACTGCCCTCTCTTCCGACATTCTAACCAATACAATTTAAATAGAGAAAATAATAAGTATCACGGTTCATAGACACTACGGTAGCCTCATCCCGTAATGACATCATCGGATGAACAAGCGAGTCGACAGAAAATATTCTACTTAGGTTCCTACATTACTTTTTAAAAAACATAATATTTTATTGTAAATGTTGATGTTCATATTTTTATTTTTGGACTTATTTCTAATGTTTTAGATTTTATAATATCGGTAGTTTGATTATTTGAAAGACGAGCTACAAAACAATAAGGAAAAATCATGTAATGATTTTTATAAAATTTCTGATGAATACTATTTATTTGAATTATAAAGACAAATATTGAGTGAATGGTTTATTTTAAACATTTTAGGTTATGGTACGGCCTCCGAGCCAAACTCTGGAAGTATTTTGTTTATGCCCTGAAATAAATTGAAATTTTAGCATGCCTTGCTGGCTACAAACACAAATCATTAAAGGAAAAAGACAACTTAAACTGAATATAAAGGCTAATGGCAAGATTTTAGAATATTATTCTTTAATTACCATTCACAATTATTAAATTACTTGCAGCTTTGTCCACCCGACATTTAAAACCAGATTGGTTTATTACAAGCATTCAACACAATCAAGAGCAAGAAAAGTCAAAGAAAAAAAAAACACATTTATGAAAAAAGGGTTTACTACAGGAAGTTTTTAGTAAAAAAAATGAGTTACAAATCGTTTTAAAGGGAGTTCAGAAGAAATTACTAAAGCATTCACGATAAGATATTTGAGTAAAAGGTGCTATCTTTACCTTAGTCTAATCAACAAGTTCAAAAGCGTGTTTTTGGGACATACTATTACGAAAATTATGTTCAATAGCTCATTCGATTCGGAATAATGTCTAGATCAATGTGTGAAGAAAAATTTTGCAGTGCATAAAAAATTGCAAAAGTTATAAACAATTAAACACCTCAAAAACATGCTGTTTGGTTTTTCGCCTATAGTTTGTAAACTATAAATATTTTTGGATTTTTCAAAAAAGATCATTAAAGAGGAGGAAATTTGCTATAAATAAGTTCCGACTCCCGGAACTGTACCTCCATTAGTTATAATTTTAATTTAACGCTCAAAGTAGCCTTCCGCGCGCCATTTTTAGGTTGGGCGCACGGCGTCGTAACCGAGTACGTTACATAAAATAATTTTTTTAAGTTAATAAAATTAAATTCAAAAATTTTAAAAAATTACGGTGTATTCTAAACACTTAGAAGAATTCATTTCCGTTGGAAATTTTCATAAAAATTAATTTTCCAACAAAGTAGGTTATTGTTAATTAACAAAATTTTTAGAATTTCTCTCATCATTACAAATTGATAAAAATATTAAATAATTACCGTAATTTTTTTTGCTTCGTGGAGCTCTTTTTATATACATATAAAACAAAATAGCTTCATAAAAGTTTAAAAAATGTTAATACTTTGTTTATAATAATTTTTTAAAGTTTACAAAAACAGAAAAGTCACAGTAGTGCTATAAAAAATTTTTTTTTTCAATTTATTATAATATTACTGTTTTAATGTCGAGAAAAGACATTTATTAATTAAAAAAAAATTTTTTTCCTCCATTTGTTTATAAATTTCTTATAAACAAATGGAGTATTTCAAGTTTTTTCAATTTTTTTTTTACAACTTTCTAGACATATGCCAATTATGATTTAAAAAAAAAATTTTCTTAATAATAACTTTTAATTGTTTATAATCGTTTTTTTAATATATCTATTGTTTAAATTATTAGTTAAGAAATGTGTTTTTTTTTAATCATAATTGACAGTCCTCTACAAAGTGACAGCAAAAAATTTTTTTTTATTAATAATTCCATTATTTATTAAGTTAACAATTTGTTATAAACAAATTCCCAACTTTGGTTTATTTTTTTCCTGAAAGAAATAAAAATTCCAAAAACGACTTGGTGCATTAAAATTACGGAAAAAATTTTATTCCATTTTTTATTAAACTTAAACAAAAATCAATTTTTATAAACAAATATAAAAAATAACAAATTGACAATAGGTACGGAATTGACAAATGACTTATCTGAGAGATAATTTCATTGCCTACAAAAATGACTTGAATGTTTATTGTCGTATCTCCAATAGTTTAAAAGTTATATCAACTTTTAAGTCAACAAATGGATCAGCTGCTGCAACTTTGATAGTACGTATATTTTCAAAGTTTAATAAAAAATGGAATAAAATTTTTTCCGTAATTTTAATGCACTAAGTCGTTTTTGGAATTTTTATTTCTTTCAGGAAAAAAATAAACCAAAGTTGTTAGTAATAGGAACTTAAATAATTTAAAAACCTTGCAAAGCTCTAACGTTAAGAAATACAAACTAAAATATTAAATGTATGCTACATTAAATTTTTAATTAAAATAGCTTTCAAAATAGATTCTCTTTACAACTGATTCTTTTTTTTTACAAATCATTATTTTCAATCTAAGTATTCATTTTACAATTGATTATTTTTCTTTATTACTTTTTGGTCAATTTTCTGGAATGGATATTTTTTACAGAAGACCGTTTTTAAAATCGATTCTTTTGTTACAATTAATACTTTCCATATTGGAATATTTTTCTACAATAGAAACTATTAAATCGATTTTTTTATCATTAATACTTTGGAAACTCGATTTTTTACAATGGATTTTATAATCGATTTTTACAATAGACCCTTCTAACTGTTTTTTTCTATCGATTCTTTTTTACGCTTTAAGAATCATACTATTTAATTAATTCACTTTACAATCTTTTTTACTGTTAATACTATTTAGAGTAAATTTTTTACAATT